GGATTCGAACCCACCACCTTAGGTGTATGTGGCTGGCGCCTTAGCTGGTTGAGCTACAGGCGCCAAGCCTGTTTTTTCTTTTTTTGAGATAGAGTCTCACTCTTACTGCCCTGGGTAGAGTGTCATGGTGTCATAGCTCACAGCAACCTTAAACTGTTGAGCTCAAGCGATCTCCCTGCCTCCCAGTACTGGGACTACAGGCACCCACCACAAATGCTGGCTAGTTTTAGAGACCAGGTCTCGTTTTTCATCAGGCGGTCTCAAACGCCTAAGCTCGGGATCCTCCTGCCTTGACCTCCCAGAGTGCTGGGATTACAGATATGAGCTGCTGTGCCCAGCTGGTAATACTTAACTTTTTATGTTAGTAGCAACCAAGTAGGTGCCCTTGCCCAGGGTAGAAAGGCTCAGAGGCCACAGCACTGGATCACTGTCCCAGGCTTCCAGGGAGGCTGTGTCAGAGGGGGCTGCTGGGACTGGGACCATAGGACGTGCTGATCTGTGGTCTGTGTCTCCAGCCACCCCAATGTGCAGGCTCTGGGAGCCTGGCTCTTCAGGAACCTGCGTCTTCTGTGTGAGCAGATGGAGGCCTGTGAGCACAGCGACATCTCCAGGGCCGTGCTTTCTGGTACGTTCATGACAAGTGTGGGTTCAGCGGGAATACCCTTTGCTGTGAAGATGTGGGAGTGTGATGTGGCTTCACCACCTGTCGTTGTTGCTTTGCATTGACCTAAGTGGTGTGGAAATTCCAGTAGCTCAGCCCCTGGCACCTGTGTGTTTGTGTAGGCCCTTCCCTTAGAGGCCACTCTAACTTATGAAGGAATATTCACTAGTAAAGGGCCTGCTCTTAAGAGCTTTACATTGCCAGTACCCTTGAGGAACTACAGTGACAATAAAGAAGAAATGTGATGTGCCACACTCCTTACAGGGAGCTTGTGGTTTTGTTTTGTTTTGTTTTATTATTTTTATGGACAGAGTCTTTGTCGCCCTCAGTAGAGTGCTGCGGCATCACAGCTCACAGCAATCTCCAATTCCTGGACTTAGGTCATTCTCTTGCCTCAGCCTCCCAAGTAGCTGGGACTACAGGCGCCTACCACAATGTCCAGCTATTTTTTTTTTTTTTTGAGACAGAGCCTTAAGCTGTCACACTGAGTAGAGTGCTGTGGCATCACAGCTCATAGCAACCTCCAACTCCTGGGCTTAAGTGAGTCTCCTGCCTCTACCTCCCAAGTAGCTGGGACTACAGGCGCTCACCACAACGCCCAGCTATTTTTTGGTTGCAGCCATCATTATTGTTTGACAGGCCCAGGCTGGATTCGAACCCACTAGCTCAGGTGTATGTGGCTGGCGCCTTAGCCACTTGAGCCACAGGCGCCAAGCCCCAGCTATTTTTTTGTTGCAGTTTGGCTGGAGTTGAGTTCGAACTCACCACCCTCGGTATATGGGGGCCAGTGCCCTACTCACTGAGCCACAGGCGCTGTCCTAGTTTGTGATTTTACTTTGCAGAAGACACGTTCATTTTTCCTAAAACTCTCATGGTCACATGAGCTACTTATGATTCTGGAACTCTTATAATCTAATCCCAGGGAGGTTAAGGTTAATTGAAGATTAGACAGAAAATCTTTTGGTCCTAATCTTTGAAGAAAGTATGAGCCCTGGGGTCCCTATGGCTCAAAGGAGTAGGGCACTGGCCCCATATGCCGGAGGTGGTGGGTTCAAACCCAGCTCTGGCCAGAAACTGCAAAAAGAAAACAAAAGGAGGGTGTGAGCCCATTTCATGCTTCAGGGTATGAGGCATGTGGTCCCCTCTGTTGGTGTTGGAGGCTGGCTGGAGGGATTTATCCCCAAGACGTCCCTGGAAGCCTCCTCTTTGTTTATGAGAAAAAAATCCTTACTCTAAACTTGATTCATCTTAAGTATTTCCTTTCAGATAGAATGGCGAGAAGGAAAATCTGTCTTAGGAAGGGCTGTGGTTGTTGACAGGGGCAGGGCCTGCGCAGGGCTCCCTGGGGCTGGCTGAGTCCTGGCAGGTGCCCCATTGGGTCAGCCCTTCAGGCCGTATGCATCCTCTCCCCCTGCCCAAGGGGTGGTCTGTGTGGTTCATAGTTGTTTGGAGACCACAGTATGGATAAGTACTTGGGTTTTGTGGTTTTTCAGATCTTGTGAAAATGTTTGTTCTGAGGGGATTTCAGGAAGATTCAGATCTAAGAAGAACTGTGCAGCCAGAAAAGATGCCCCAGGTAGGAGGGAAAGTGAAGTGAAGAGGCTGGAAAATTGGCATTGTTGTAGAGATAGGCTTCACAAGAGAGTGGTGTCTCCATCCCCATCCAAGGTTTCTGTATATATATTTTATATGGTATATGAATATTTTGGTGTATACCCCTAGCTCATCTTTTTTTTTTTTTTTTTTTTGAGACAGAATCTCACTT